ATAACCCCTAACGGGTCTCAGAGCAGATTACAGGGGCGTTCTTACGAACTTGTTAGCCCTATCTAAGGCCACATACCGAAGGGGTGGGGATTCCCTACCAGCACCCTGTGATAGGTCCGCTGCGTTCTTCTGGCTGCTTGGCAGCTCTCCCTCTTTTGGCAGCTCTCTTTCTCCGGCGATTTTTCTCCACTGGTCGGCTGCTTCTCTCCTTTGGTGGGACCGTCTACCCGGCGCCTGTCCTCGCGTCTGCTCAGCCTCGGCTCTGTCCTAGCTGGCTCCGCCACGCTTTACAGTCCATGTCATCAGACGCCGACGCCAGTCGCCACCGCAATCTTCCACCGCCAGGGATCGCTCGACCGATGTTCTTCTTGCCGAGTGCCATCTCGGCTTCACTGCCGCCACCGCCGCCATTGATGTTTCTCGCCGAACGCAGCTGCGGCCACCACAAACCTCTTTTGTTACAGAGGCAGGTGCCCCCCACCCTTCTAAGGGTGGGTACCCATTTGCCTACTCACATGATGTTAATCGCTTTCGGGCCGCTGATTTTATGGTAGCAAAAGCTTTCAAATGGCTCAAGAGCTCACTGTCAGATGCATGAAGTGATTACCAGTGCTTTAACAGCATCATGCTTATAAAGAAGGCAACTGCATGCAAGTAAATTACTTAAACAGAGAAAAGGCCACTTGGCTTTCTGCCCCCTTTGCTGACATCTCAGGCACTTGGAAAGAAGCCGCTCGTCCTCCCAGGCCAGGCTCTTCCTCGACTGAGCTCACAAGCAAAGTCCTGATCCCTGACCTCAGCTGATTGTTCCTTGTTGCTGTGGAGACCGTGTTCTAAACACAGGACGCAGAATTTGCTGCAGCAACAGAAAGGCTGTGAATAAAAGCACAATTTGACAAACAGCACTGAAAGCAGAGCGCGCCACCACCTTGTTGGTGCATTCAGTTTGCAACAGCAGGGTTTCTTCCTAGGGCATTTTCACATAACAAGGCCTGAGTTATATTGACCTCTAATCAGTGCTTATGTAGAACGAGAACAAGAATTCTGGGTTTTCCCTTCCTATCACAAACTCAAGTGAAGCAATAGCCTCTAAACCACAATCTTTATATTAAGAACATAAGAGATGCCAATGTTGGATCAGGCCAAAGGCCCATCCAGTCCAACACTCTGTGTCACACAGTGGCCAGAAATACCAGTGCCATCAGGAGGTCCAGCAGTGGGGCCAGGACATTAGAAGCCCTCCCACTGTTGACCCCCCCAAGCACCAAGAAGAGCATCACTTGCCCCAGAGCCCCTATCTATACCTTGTGGCTAATATCCACTGATGGACCTCTGCTCCATATGCTTATCTAATTCCCTTTTGAAGCCGTCCATGCTTGTAGCCGCCACCACTTCCTGTGGCAGTGAATTCCATGTGTTAATCACTCTTTGGGTGAAGAAGTACTTCCTTTTATCCGTTCTAACCCGACCGCTCTGCAGTTTCATGGAGTGCCCACGAGTTCTTGTATTGTGAGAAAGGGAGAAAAGTACCTTTCTCTACCTGCTCTTTCCCATGCATAATCTTATAAACCTCGATCATGTCACCCCTCAGTCGTCTTTTCTCCAAGCTAAAGAGCCCTAAGCGCTTTAACCTTTCCTCATAGGGAAAGTGTTCCAACCCTTTTATCATTCGAGTTGCCCTTTTCTGCACTTTTTCCAAAGCTATAATATCCTTTTTAAGGTGTGGTGACCAGAACTGCACCCAGTATTCCAAATGAGGTCTCACCATTGATTTATATAGGGGCATTATGATATTGGCTGATCTGTTTTCAATACCCTTCCTAATAATCCCCAGCATAGCATTGGCCTTCTTTATTGCAGTCACACACTGTCTCGACATTTTCAGTGAGTTATCCACTACAACTCCAAGATCTCTCTCTTGATCAGTCTCTGCCAGTTCAGACCCCATCAATGTGTATTTATATTTAGGATTTTTGGCTCCAATGTGCATCACCTTGCACTTGGCCACATTGAACCCCATTTGCCATGTTGACGCCCACCCTTGACAGATCCCTTTGGAGTGCCTTACAATCCTCACTGGTTTTCACCACCCTGAACAAATATTCTTACGTGTGTTCTTCCCTCTGAGGGTGCCAAAAATCTGTTCATTATAGGAAATCAGCTACCCACCCACACTATTACTGCACATCCCAGTGTTGAGACTGGCAAAGATAGCAAGTTCAGCAACCCCTTTTCTATCACCTTTATATATTTTGCTATTTGAAAGGCCAAAACCAGTAACTAGATGATCCTAAAAATGTTTCCTGAGCAGGAACACTTCCTAAGGAAAAATATAAAAATATTAAAACATAAAGCAGCCTTATATCGATTTAGATCTCTGGTCTATCAAGGTCAGTCTACTGAGACTGGCACCTCTCCAACATCCCAGACAGGATTTTTATATCATCTCTACGGGTGTGCAGGGGAAATTTTTTTTTTTTTTTCAGATTCGGGTATAATAAAGCTGGATTTTTTCAGTATTCTCAAATACCAATACCGGTATTCTATTGGTACCCGAAAATTTTCAGCTCCATTATATCCTATGGCAAAAATCTTCTCACAAGTATTCAGGGGGCTGGGGGTTAGAGGCACCAAATTTGTACTGCAGCTGCTGGAGCCTCTTCCTAAAAGACCCCCCCCCCCGTTTGGAAAAGATTGAACCAGGGGGTCCAATTCTAGGGGCATCCAAAGAGGGTACCTCCAATTCTTTTGTTTCCTACGGGGATGGGGAAAAGGCAGGCAGCAGTGTCTCCCAGCCGAATTAGCTCAGGGGATCTGATTCAGTATGCCAAATACCTGAAAAAGTTTTTTCCTCGGTTCAGGTTTACTGAATGCACACCCCCTAATTACCTCCTCTCCAATTCCTGAAATGCCAGCAAGTGAACCTGGGGTATTCCATGGGCCAAATAAATGCTCTGCCACTGAGCCAGGGCCTCTCCCTTGTTCAGTACCTTTCTCCCTTGTCCCAACCTTGAGACCGTTGTCCTGTAGTGTTCCAGTGCATGTGAAGGTAAGAGGCAGAGAAAGCAAAGCCCAGGGAGTAAAAAAAGGAACGATGGAATAAAACTGGTTACCACTTTGCAAGGTCTCCATCTCTTCCTTGTGGTGCAAGCGAACAGTAGACTCTGGAAACCCAAGAACTGTAGCAGAGATGAGGGTGCAGCCATGAAGTTTTAGCTGTCCAAAGTGCATCACCTACTTTAAATGACCCCTACAGGGAGCCTTGAAAGCAAGCCACTGTTGTTATCCCTTTAGCATAGTGGTTAAGAGAGAACACTAAGGTAAGCTGCCCCTGGTTCAAACCTCACTACAACCACAAAGGGGCCATAAGTGACTCTCTCTGCAAAACAGAAATACTGACCTACACTACAAGGAAACTTCCAGGAAGTCTGAAACATAGCTCAGAGAGTCCCCTAACTCAGCTGTGAATTTATAAACCTGGGCAGAGCTTGGCATATCCAGGCACCAGGCTGCCTTGAAATTTCACTGTGGTGCCAAGCATTTTTTGTGATGAGCTCCCCCCATGGACCAATATGAAATGTAGTGTAACTAAATGCAACTGAGTGGACCATTCGATTGCCCTCAGCTGAAGAGTTTGCTATTTCCATTCTACAGGCTCATGCAACAGTCCAGGTAGTTATGTAAACTCTAGTTACAGCTTGTCCTGATGGTTTAAAGGAAGCAAGTGCACCACCTCCACTTCTGTCCCAAAGATGCAGGTCTTAAGCAGAACCACCAACCTGACTTGCTTCCTTTGAAGTCTCATTTTCAATTGCTAGCTTCAGTACTAACAGCAGGTACTAAGGCCATGAAGATGCAATATAAAATTAACACAAAACACAGTTGTAACACTTAAGACTGAAGAGAGCTTTGGAATGGATTAATGCCCAATATTCAGCTCTAGCTCATGAGTGACATATTTGTGAATTCAGATTTATCCAACACACGTATTGCATCATGTGCATGACTATCCACACGAACACTGCAAACCTAACAACATTTTCCCTAGGAGTAAGCCCCATTGAATGCAGCTGAGTAGACCTGCTTAGAGACTGCTGTTATAAGCCACTTCAAATATTTTTAGAGTAGAAGTAGGGACAATGTTTACCAAATAAACAAACACTATGGTACAGGGAAGGAGATTCAGAAAGCTAAAGACACACAAGAACAAGCCACTCCAGGCTTCTGCATCTCCACATACACCGAAGGAATACTCAGCACCTTGAAACAGAGTGTACAGGACAGCATGCTGTGTTCAAATTTGGGTGGTGTCACATGTTGTGCAACAAATTGTCATGGAAATGTTAGCTGTTCAGGCAGGTAAGAACAAAGCTCTGTGGTCGCCGGGCACTACAAAGAAGAAAAACTTGGGAGTTCAGCAATATTCATAGGTCCATCTATAACACAGGCAGTGTGGTGTGGTGGTTGGAGTGTTGGCCCAAGATCTGGGAGATCAGGTTCAAATCCCCACTCTGCCAGAGAAGTTGGGTGACCTTGAGCCAGTCTTGCACTCTGCTTAACCCATCTCAAAAAGCAGCTGTGAGGACAAAATGGAAGAGGGGAGAACACGGGAAGCCACTGTTGAGTCCCCACTGGGGAGAAAGGCAGGGTAAAACGGAAGCCAGTAAAAACAATGCATTGTCTCCAAACTTGTCCGACAGGGACCACCACTAGCAGGGTTCAGTTTGTTAACACGTATGAAATCCCAAGACCAAAAGCTTCTACAGCCAGATGGCACCCATGCTTTTAGCCACCAGAAAGGTTTCATCCAGTCTGACAGTACACGTCAAGTGAAATTATGGTTAGAGCTCACATACATACGCAAGCAAATCTACTGAAAGGAGAACATCTGTTGCCTAACATCTTACCTGTTCATACCCAGAGGACGTGCGCCCAACCCATTATAATCCTGCTAAACACTGGTTACAGCAACAATAATTCATAAAGCACAAGCCAGGAAGTGTTTCTGGAAAATATCTGAAATTTTATTAGAGACTACAAGCCAGATTGCCACAATTTGCCACATGCTAGGCTGCCTCTTCTTTGGCAATACGGTCTTTCTTGAGTGGTCCCTGCAAAGCAAGTTACAAACATGTCAGTGTAGAAAACAGACCCCCCACCACACCTCACTCTTATCAGGATTTTTGTTTCTCCCTGCTTTTTGAAGAGGCAGCAGAATACCACCAGATCATTCAAACTGTTGTGCTGCCATCTACTGGTCATATTATACACAGCAACTAGGAGTACTGGTGGGAAAGAACCAATGAAGATAGAGCACTGACTTTATCCCTGTTGACCTGCCTGCTAGTTGCTGATTAACAAAACATGGGGGACAAGATGGATCTTGATGCAGACCTGACAAAGCACTTATGTAAACAGTGCCTACTTGTGATTACTTAAGTTAGTTATACCTTAACTACTGTAACCCTGAGTAGGATTTGTAAATTTAAAACTAGTGAAACACGTTTTAAAAGGAAATATGCTACACAAGACTTAAATCAGCATACTCCTGGAATGGGGAATATAATTTCCTTGGGGACAATTTTTTGAGTAATATCTAAAGAGGGTCTTTTATCAAATGCACGTAAAAGTTCCTCAAGTTTCATATGAAATGTACCGTGCCTTAAAAAGAGGCTTTAAGGCAAGTTACAGGAGAAAAACTCATCTAAGAACTACATTCAACAGTTTCCCCCATATTTAACAACTTTATGCTATGCATGATTCAAGACTTCATGTTTTACAGCAATGTCAGTGTCAGAAATGAAGTAGCATTGTAAAGTTTAAGGCAGTACTGCCATATGCTATCTTTGTATATATCTTTTCTAATAGTACCTATTTAAAATGCTACTGAACATCATTTAATAGCATCCTTCCAGGGGCTGTAACTTGCATTCGTAATATTACTCTTAGAGCCCTTACCCAGCTGGAATCTCCAAAACAGGTCTTCCCTAGATAACAAACACTTGGCAGAAAAAGGCTGCTCCTAGGCCTAGACTATTCCCTTTACATTCTGGGCAACAAATTCCTGCCCTCACACTTTGAAGTAGCTCAACCACCACACATGGGTTGAAGAGGCCCAATTCAACACAATGAGAATACCAACACTGAATTTAAGGATATATGCAGCAAGCAGATATACAAGGAAGTAATCTTACCATGAAAGCCTTCTTTTCCTCTGCTGTCTGGAAGCGACCATGACCAAACTTGGAAGTTGTGTCAATAAACTTCAAGTCAATCTTCTCCAGGGCCCGACGCTTGGTCTGTACAAGCAAGGACTAAGGGGAAAGAGGGAATTAGTATGAACTGGCAACCACAATGACTATAGCCTTCAGACTGCCACATGGAAACACCGGAGACGGTGGGAAGGTATTATTCTAGAGCTCTCCCCTCATCCTGAAAGGTCTCATGTACAGCAGCCCCTGGCTTCCTTCAAGGTGTGCAAGTCTTGTCTGCTGTTCTGGGATGCACCTTGCCATATATGGTACAGGGATTATCATCCAAGGTCCTTAGTGTTATGGTAGAGTTTACAATACCCGGGAAGACAGACATGCACAATATTACCACCTTAAAGGTATTAGTTGCTGAATGACCTAGCAATATGTATTCAGTGTGACCCAGAAGTATCCTTGTATTGCTCACCTTGCGCAGAGTGAGAACTCTCTTCTTGGTCCCAACAACACAGCCTTTCAACATGATAAAGTCATTGGTCACTTCACCATAATGAACAAACCCGCCCTATATGATGAGAACAGCAAGTCAATGTACAAGGCAGTTCTTAATACTAAATGTCCCTAATTAATTCTGCTATTTCCCAGCAGCAACGCCAAACCATGGCGCCAGAAATTATTAACTTCACTCCAAGCAGGATTTACAGCAGAAAACTAGCCTGGGAAATCTGCTTGTATGTTTGTTTATTTATTTTTGGATTTATATCCCGCCCTCCCCGAAGGCTCAGGGCAGCTAACAAGGCACAAGTGCCAGAATTAAAACAGATAAAACAGTCTAAAACCATAAAACAATACAGTACAACAACAAAGTTTCAGTGCAAGATGGGGTAGAACTTCCTCAAATGGTATTGGTCCCACAACTTGTCAGCACCCTCTCCTTTGTTGAAGCAAAGGAGCAACTACAGGAGCTGCCAGAGCTATTAATAACCCAAGCACTGGAATTTAGTGTCTGTGCCTCAGAGCACAGCAGGCCTTCAAACTCTGGCCTACACATATGCAAAGGCTACTGACTAGCAATATTCCACCCACAACCCACATTTTATTTTACTAGAAAACCACTTACCAGAGGGTTAATGCTTTTGACAGACTGATCATACTCTGTTGAAGCATTATTTTTGATCAACTTGCCATCCTTGATTTGGTATCCCTGGCCGATCTTGTAGATCTAAGTAGCCAAGACAGGAATGAACTGTGGAATGCTGATGATCAAACCTTGATTCCCCCCCCCCCCAAACTAAGGAACTTAATTCCTCCAACATCTCCCAAACGTGAAGGTTTCTAGCTGGTTGCTAGCATGCCAGCACCTTGTGCACCTGGATTATTACTGAACTTTGGTATGTTTCCCTTAAAGCTATGCTTATAAGAAAGTAATTTTCAACTGTAGTTTTGCATTTAGTTTGACAACGACTCACTGGGCCATTACAAAACTGCTTACATTCATTCTTGCATGGGAGGAAAAATCAACAGTAACTCACAACTATGGGTCGTACTGGGTTAGATTCAGCTTAAGGAACTGGCAGCATGGATCCTTCCCAAGCAGCCTGTGTGCTCTGAAAATTCTGAGGACAGCAAGAAGCTTGCAAAACAGAATTTATCACAGTATAAAGGACTACTGCAAGGATAGCATAACAACTGCCCTGCTGGATCTGACCAGTGATCTCTCTAGTCCAGTATTATGTCTCATACAGTGTCCAATCAACTACTCTGGAAGGTCAAAAGTGTCAGAGGCCAAGGCTTCCAGTGCTGCCTCCTGGCACTGGCATTTATTGCCTCTGAATGTGGAGGAGAAATCAGGTAACATTGCCACCTACTGGAACAAAATTAGACTGTCCCAATGCTATCCAAGAGCCTTCGCGAGATTTGCTTTCTCATTCAGAAAACCTTTAGTGAAGAACAACCTGTTTTGCTGAGATACTACATTTCTTGTATGAACTCCAGGGAAAACGTTAACTAAAGCCAACAGTCTTGCACATGAACTTAGCAAGTAACTCCCAAAGTTGTCTGCAGGCTTAAATCCAGCTACCTCTGGTACATCTCTGGTACCTCTGGCTACCTCATCTGCATCTATGCAGTAATTTCTATGGAGCACTATATAACATGACATTCCAGTTTACAGCTGTGCACTGCAAAGCACACCCATACCTTCTTATTGATTTCTGTGCGGTGATGATAGCCCTTCTGACCAGCTCGAGCTACAGAGAAGGCCACACGAGCAGGGTGCCATGCTCCAATGCAGGCCACTTTGCGCAGACCTCTATGAGTCTTGCGGGGCAGCTTTTTGGTGTGCCATCGGCTGGTAACCCCTGAGAACAGGACAGAATAAATGAACACGTTAATATATTGGACTCCTAATTCTGTGGAAAAGCAGCCAACAAAATTTTACCTACCCTATACCCCTGCACTTACTACCAGTAGGATCTGACTGCTCCCTTATTTGCTACTTAACCACAAGTCTTACACACACAATCACTTTTGACTAAGCGAAGCTCATTCCCAGCCATTGTTTCCCAAGCTGATCTCAGAAGGAAGGCAGCATGGAATGACTCCTCATGAGTATCAGGCACTGTGCCCAGTGCATATTCCATGACTTCATCACTGAACAGCTTCTACTGAGTAATGGCACAATGTACTTCCCTCCTCCTCCTTCCCTATGCCCAGGGTACAAAACCATTTTAAATTCATCTTTGCCATAGTATCAGATGGGGAATAAATTACCTTTGTACCCCTTGCCCTTGGTGACACCAATGACATCTATCATTTCATCTTGGCCAAAGACGGTTGCTACTGGCACTTGCTGCTCCAGCTTCTCCCGGGCCCAGTCTACTTTTTGAGCCACAGTGCCACCATTCACCTGGATCTCCATCAGGTGAGACTTCTTTTGCCGCAGAGGAAGCATGCGCATCTGAGGATCCAGAAAACAGGTATTTCTTACTGCAGGGTATGCAACAAGGTTGCAATTTCAAATGTTTCCTGTATCAGGTAGGTATTTTGAGCTCAACCCCAATGTATACTGCTTTTTATTATTTCTGAAATTTTAATGCATCACTTCAGCGTTGAACATTACTAAACCTAATTTTGGAACCAAATGCCATTAGAAAGAATAACACCCTTCATAAACTGGTAATTTTTCCACACAGTTCACAGATTTTGCTATATAAAGTGAGCAATAATGCTTTGCAGTGACTTTGATGCTAATAAAAAACAGGACAAAGCATTCTAACACTGTGCAAGACCTGGTAGTCTTTCAGATAGTGGTTGCCTCACTCTCAAGCTGGGGATTCCAGGATTTTGCACAACCTTTGAAAATGGTCAAGCTCAATAGCCAAAGGGCTGGCTTCACATAGGGCCCTGCTCAGCAATGTAGAGTTTGCAATCCATTAGCATATAAACTGCACAGCACCAAGAACCATATTACAGTCCCCATTCCATTCAGCCTTCTTCCCTCAGTAACGACCCCATTAATTCCTATGGTCTTCTGTAACTCCACGTGCTCTGCCAGAAAGAGAGAAGACTAACCTGGGTGTGAGCTATGACCCTGATAACCTGGCAGTACTTTTTCATGCTGTTGAAGTCCTTCTCCAATTGCTTTTTGCCTTCATCATCCTGCCACTTCTTGCAGTACTTGGTAAAAGCCTTCTTCTTGGACTTGTGCCTTCAAGGAGGAGCAGAAAGGGGGATTGGCACAGCCCTTCATCAACCCACCCAGGGAGGTGGCTGAGTGGAAGAAGCTGGCACAGGAGGTCGGATCTGGCTCATTGCCGGCTTCTAAGAACTTTTCCACCGACAAGTGGAGCCTGGAGCTCATCAGACAAAGGCAAAGCTGCCAAAACTGAGCGGAGCTGCCATAAACACATGCAAAGAGTATTAATATGCACTGTACAGAACAGACACAAAAAATGGCAGCATTTAGAAATTCCTCGTATTTGACAGCTACATACAAGTGAAGTGCTTGAACTTTAACACAATCTCTCTTCTTAAGTTTACATAGCAGTGACTGCCTCCTTCTTGACTCCATTCATTTATAATTTCCCACCAGTAAAAGAGGTAACAGGGTATGCCACCCTGAAGACAGGCTACTACACTCAGTACTCGACAATCAGCAACAAGCGCCAAAGGCGATTTTCTTATGCCCGCCCGTCGAGGAGATCATCATGTGTAGTGTTCATCTACAAGTACTAGAGAACTATCATCACCTTTATCTCAACACAGTACAGTTCCTATAAAGAACCTTCCAACATTGAAGTCCTGAACTCAAAAACACTTCCAGAAATAGTTTATATTACCTAGGTTTAATCTTCATAATACATCTTTCTAACTAGAATAATTAAATGCTGCTCTCATACCAGTTCTTGTAGAAGCGACGCTTGCACTCATCACTGATATGCTCAGCAAAGATTGTCTTGAAGGTGCGAAGGCCCCGGGGAGTTTCCACATAGCTCACAATACCAACAATGACCATAGGAGGGGTTTCCACTATAGTAACTGCCTCTACAACTTCTTTCTTGTTCACCTCTGTGGAAATAAAAAGACACACTACAGTTAATGTCGAAGCACAGGAATAAATCTATACTTTCTTACAAGTGAGGGAACCTTCTGAAATAAATTCCAGGGACACAGCAGTATCAGTCTGTTGCAGCGACCACAAACAAAATCCTTGTTGTACTTTAAAGATTAGCTGATTTGCTGGGGGTGTAGGTTTTGTGGAGCCGAGTGACATTAATCAAGTTTAAAACACAACACTTCCGTACATCTTTAAAGTGCAACAAGCCATCCATTTGAGGGAAACCTTAAATGCTACGCTCAAAAGTAACTTCAGCAATGAAGTTCTGACAATCAGATTAAAGGGGAATGTTACTTGGTTAGTACAATAACCCCAAGCTTGGAACCAGGACACTATTCTTAAAAGCCACAGAAATGTCCAAGGTAAGAGCTAGGGACAGACAATAATTGATACTTACCCTGTGTTCAATCTTTTAATGCAGGTCAAAGGAAATAGTAGCGACTAAAGCTTTCTCCCATCTTGTATGTAGCACAAAATCCAACAAAGCAAACTGCAAACAGTCCGGTGCAATTCTTGCCTCTGCACACTCACATCCCTCATGCGCAGACTCCTCTGCCACATGGAGATAATGGCCTATCAGAGAGCTGCAATAAGGCTTACTGGGTGCATACGTGAAGCACTCTCGAGCAATAAAGAAATGCCTAGTATTAATTTCACTTCCCTCCCTCCCAACCACTTCCCACCTCAAGATTGATAAATACATACTGGATCCAGGCCTGTCAACTTCACGAACAATGTGGGTCATGCCAGCCTTATACCCCAGAAATGCAGTGAGATGGATGGGCTTGTTGGGGTCATCCTTCGGGAAGCTCTTCACTTTGCCCCGGTGGCGACGGCTGCGCTTGCGAGGCAGAAAACCCAAAGATCCATGCCTGGGAGCTGAGAACTTACGATGGGACTGAAAAGATACACATATATTACTCAGCAGGTAGCTGTGGCCAGATCATGCCATCCCCTCCTATCTCAAATCAGGGTTCTTGCAAGGATAAAATGCTCTGAGCTCCTTGGGAAAAGACTAGGACGTAAACTTTCCATAAAACCCTTTCCTCCATCCACAATCAATCTCCTAAAGTAAGAACCAAAATGTGCTTCTGCTATCTGCCTACATCCACATTCTACTTACCAAATACTCAACCAGATTTTTAGAATGACAGTACTATAAGGTCATTTTGGAATTTAGGCTAAACCACTGCACAATTTATACAGGACTACGTTAATACCACTTTAGCAATTCTGGTACGTATTACGGTTTTGCATTTGTTAGGCACATACTCTATGGTATTACTACTCACGTAACAGTACAAGGTAACCAAACCCCTATCCCAAATAGCTTACAACTATGGAGGACTTATATTGTGTAAAAAAAAAAACCCTCCCCTTACCTAGAGTTGATTACTCTCATACAAAAATAAATTCCCCTTCTACAACAAGCACCCACCAATATTAGATACATCCACTGGTATTGTAGCCAAACACCACTGGAGACAATTCACCTCCCTATTTAACAAGAAGCATCCCCATACTAGTTAGCTCTATATCTGCTCTCTGCCACGTTATTACCAGACAGGAATCCCTTGAACCTGTCGGTTACTTTCTATTAAGAGCCTATATTCACAGAATGGCAAATGCCAGACAGACACACGCACACACACCCCTGCCAGAGCTGAAAGGCCTCCGTTCTACGCTAGCCATGCCTTTTGGTAGAACGGGCCTTAGAGTGAAAAGACTAAAGAAAAATTATCCTTCACACATTCCACTTTTCAAATAGTTTTTAAGAGATGGGGCAGCTGCTAAGTGGGTTCACCGCCATTGAATTCCAATCTAAGCAGCTGTTAGATGTTTCAGGGACATCGAGGCAGGCTGTATAAAACCATATACGGTTTACAAATAAGGGAGTTCCTTCCCTCGCTACACCAACTGCGGACAGGCGTCAGCGGAGGCCTAGTGCTCTTTCAACGAACGCAGGGTAGTAAGCCCCTAAATATCTCTCGGATTACCAAAAACAAAGGTCCTGCAACAAGGAACGGTAGGACCCCATTTGGTCGAAACGATCACATAAGCGATGGCAACGGATAACACTTTCTCCACACACAACCACCACTCACCATTTTGAATCCGAGCCGACGCAGAAGAGAACTAGAAAACAGCACACGCGCTATTTATACCCTCGCCTTCTACGCATATACGTAAGCACGCCGTACTAACGCATGCGCTTTCCGAAGCACCTATGCGCGTTCGACCTCGCGAGATCTTAAAACTGAAACGTCGCGAGCTGGTAAACGATAACGCCGTTACTTAAATTAATATATAAACTACGGTTGCCGGCTGTGCTCAATTGTCTTCGAAAGGCGCACATTTGAAATTAAGTCTATAGTTCTGCCGGCGTAATACAAACTGGAAAGAACCGGATAGGACTAAGCTCTGAGTACACAGGCGTAGAATCCGTAAAAGAACGGTAAAAGGAAACTACACGCATTGGACTTTAAAGAGCTTCGATAGCATTTCCCGAGAGCGTAATAAGGAACTGGAATTCTTAAGTCATTACAGGAATTTACTAGCTTAGTAAAACAACTAGAGACACCATAAAGTACTGTTCAACAAAGTTTTGTTAAATAATAAAATAAAACTTTGTTAGTCTTAAAAGTGCCACTGGACTCGAACTTTGTTCTTGGAGGAGCCACTGGACTCGAACGTTGTTCTGCAGCTTCAGACCAACCCGACTACCCACCTCAATGTATCATTAGGTACTATAGTTGTTAGTGTTCTCTGTACTTTTTTTGAATTTTAAATAATGACAGCTCATCATAGATTTCATGGTTCCTTGACCCTGCTGTTGTTGTTTCTTCATAACCTCATATATATAGAAGAGTTGAATTTATACCCCACCCTTCACTCGGAGTCTCAGAGTGGCTTACAATCTCCTTCCCTTCCTTTTCCCATAGGAAGGTAGATGGGGCTCAGAGAACTGCTCTTGAGAGAACTGCCCTGAGAGAACTGTGACTGACCCAAGGTCACCCAGCTGGCTGCATGTGGAGGAGTGGGGAATCAAACCTGGTTCTCCAGGTTAGAGTCTGCTGCTCTTAACCACTACACCAAACTTAACCACTACACCCAGCTGCCTATAATATATGGCTGGCAGCAACCCACTAACTGCATCTTGCAAAGCTGGTTCTAGTTAATGAAAACTTACAATGCTAGAATGTAAAGTGGCAGCCTCAGGACTCCTGTTTATCTGGCCTGAGTTTCAGCAAGAAAAGTGGACTATAAATACAAAAATAAGTATATTTATGCAGCACTAGGGTAGCAGATCCTACAATTTCAATGGGAGCCAAAGAAAGCAACATATGAAAGAGACTCTCTTGAAGCCAATATTATTCCAGTCATAGGAATGGGGGGGGGGGGTGTCGCCCCAGGCCCTAAATGAATGATTATAAATGGCATGACTATCTGATATTTTAAAAAATCAGAAGTCCAGTGGGACTTGAAAGAAAAACATTTATTTCAGGATGAGTTTTTGTAAGTCAGAGCCGATTAAAATTATCCAACACATGGAGGTTTTCCAGTTCTTTCTCCTTCCATCCACAAACTTTCTCTTTGCACCCAGTTGCCCACATACCTCATCTTTTTCTGTTTCCGTCCTCTCAGATTTTGTAAAAATATTATAATGATGACAATCTGAACAAACCATGTAAATTATCTGAAATAAACTTCAAAGATCCCATTAATTTATCTAATCATTTCACAAAGCCATACGTTCTGTTGCATAGACCTCTCTATGCAAAATGCTATCGCAGTTCTCATATCCCTATGCTGAACTCAAACATCAGCACCAACTGATCCGCCTTGTAAGGATGCCTCTACACCAGTTTGGTGTAGTGGTTAAGTGCGCGGACTCTAATCTGGGAGAACTGGGTTTGATTCCCCACTCCTCCACTTGCACCTGCTGGATGACCTTGGGCAAGCCATAGGTTGTCTGTTGTGGGGAGGAGAAGGGAAAGGAGTTTGTAATCCGCTCTGAGACTCCTTTGGGTAGTGAAGGGTGGGGTATAAATCCAATCTCTTCTCTTCTTCTACTGTAGACTCTGAAGCTATGACATTATAGCAACATTCAACTCTTGACAGTGATGCAAGTGGAGCAAATGTCTTTTTAGGAGCTGTTATGTTCAGAGTTTGCTTTAAAAAAATATGTGATGTCCATGATAGTCACAACTGGAAAGCCATGTCAGACAGGTGGGAAAACTGACTGTTCGAAAAACAGTGTGATGCTTGTTCTGTCAGTAACCTTTACATGGCTGTGTAGTAAATATGTGTGTATGCATGTATGGCCGGTATCCAGGAAAGCCTGGAGACAGAAGATGGTCACTCTGCCTCAACATGACAATTTACTCCTCTTTCTGATGCAATCAACTGTGATGATATCACTCAGCCCTGTGAGGAGAAGCATCCAACACTGAAGCTGGGGCCAGAAGAGAAGTCAAGGCATTTGCGGTAGGATAAATGTGGTTTTACATCAATGTTAACAACAAAGAACCTGCAGTTCTCTAGCCCTCTGGGAACCAGACTATGATGAGGGCAGAACAGACATGGGGGCTGCCCCAAGCCCATCTGATCGCACTCTTCTTAATGTGCTCTCTCTGTGTGAAAGTCTACAAGACACTGCTGCATCCCCTGAGCACCATGACAAGGTTAATCTTCCGTTGGGTCACTGTCTATGTGGCTGGGATCTTCATCCTTTGGCACTGCAGCCTAAAGATGTCGGGCACAATGCTTTCAGTTCTGTTTAGGAAACTTGGGCGGGAAGTGCTGCTCCCAGTGGTCCAAATCATCTGGCAATCCCAGTTGGCTGTCCAGAGCTGCTGTTTTTATTTGGCCAATGCCTTGCTGTATTGTGTTGCCAGACAGGCTCTGGAACTCCTGAGACAACCAGTCTTGCCACCTGCTTCATCTACGGCGCACCCATCCCACCCCTGCCTGGATTCCTTTCTCCAACACAACAGTGAAAGCTGCCAGACAGGATTGCGGCCAGTCATGCAGCAACTAGCTATTGCACTCTTTCTTGGGTTCCTCGATGGGGTGCAGGATGCGTTCCGTCAGTCAGTAACAGCAGTGAAATATGAACTGGTCCAATTCTTTAAAAGTGTCAGACCCACACCCTGTCCAGCATACAAAGAAAACATCTTAGACGACATCACCTGTAGCCTCCCACTTACCCGCATCCCTTTGTGCAGTCGTTTCAAGTGTTCTGCACCTTGTACCTTCAAAGACATACCACACTCCATTGCTATGCTTAAGTTTGTTGTGGCTAGTGAGCACATCATCACAGGACCAGGCAAGTATGGGTTAGAGGTCACAGCTACCCCTCTGCATGTGAGATTCCAGAACAACATCAGAACGAAGAATGCATTTTCAACACATGGCACAGACTCAGCTGTGAAGCAGATGAAGAAGACCTGTATGGTCTTCATTGCTTTCTACCTTTCTGTGCTCTCCATCATCATAAAGATGGTCAAATAAAGAGACAGGATGTGCCATTCCTTAGAAACTGAATTTCTCATTTGGAAAAAAAAATCTCCTAGCATCAGCATGGTGGTTTTGAACAATTAAGGGTGGTCTTGTCCAGAAGAGACCCTCCCTGACTTTGATGACAAATTATAATAATGAAATTGATGAAAGCGTAGGATCTTCCAGGGCCTAAAACACATGTGGTGTGTTCTTGTTTTGTGACCTTCCAAATGCGAAGTGTGGTCTGAACATCAAATGTTGATTAGATGGGGCTCAAAGCTGAACTACATATTACACAGGAGCTCTATATTGAATCTTCTGGCATTTTTGTTAGTATTTTAAAGTTGGGGGGGCTGAAACTGATTGGAGCATTGGCACTTGTGGGAAAGGAGCCGTGGTGGCTCAGAGGTTAAGATGCTGAGCTGCAGACTAGAAGGTCTGTAGTTCGGCAGTTCGAGACCCTAGTGTCGTGTGATGGAGTGAGCTCCCATCTCTGGCCCCAGCTCCCGCCAACCAAGCAGTTCGAAAGCAAGAAATTGCAAGTATAAATAGGTACCGCTTCGGTGGGAAGGTAACAACACTCTTCCTTGGCATTTAGTCATTCCGGCCACATGACCATGGAAATGTCTTCGGACAGTGCTGACTCTTTGGCTTGGAAACAGAGATGAGCACCGTCCCCTAGAGTTGGATTCGACTAGCTTTCAAGCAAGGGAAACCTTTACCTCTACTTTACTTATGGGAAGCGGGATGGGGTGTTCCTTTCCCAACACACAATGTCCCTGATTGAAGTTAAAACACACGCTGAAGTTGGTGTTAGCTCTGTTGGGGTGGGGGGGGGAGCTGAATTCCATCTCACCCTCCTGAAAAGTTTTTGAGGGAATAATTTAGACTGAGAAAATGGTGGGAGGATGAAATTCTCCCTTTTCTAACGCCACTGCTCCAGTTGAATTCAGAGGCCACAGTGGCTGCTTGAAACGTCAGGAGATTCAAGTGTGGATCTCCCATGTAACATGTTTGCCCTCAGCAGAAGTAATTTCATGCTATGAAGCAGTCATTATTATGTCTCCATAAAAACAGTAGCTGCTGCATGTTTGCTCCTTCATCTCAGGGCTTTTTCAGTGGAGTTGGGACAAGGAGAGGACAGACTGGTGAGAGGGTCATTGCAGGCCTGTTCTGCAATTGTCAGGAAGGTCTGACAGCACTGCTTCTTCTGTCAGGATTTTTTTTTTGTACCTTATAGGAGAACTTCTTATATCTTCAGTAAACAGGATCTGGATATGGGAAAGCAATGCAAGGTGTGCCATAAAACACAAGTGGTGGTAAAAACCAACAGAATTATTCAAGGCTCTGATACAATCTGATGATGTTCTGAAGGTCAGTCTTGTCAGATCCATAGCAGTTCAGATTGTGAAATACTTTTTCAGGGCCATACACGGGAGCTCTAGGGGGCACTGTTTGATCCACTTGAGGGTCCCAATCCCAGGGTGACCCGTGGTCCTAGCTATCACACAAACATTATTTTCTTCCTTCAAAATATGACTGACTCCTGGTATTTTGTAAGACGCAGATGACTCCTGGTATTTTGTAAGAAGCGGATGGCAAAGGTGGAAGTATAAAGCTCAGTGTGGAAAATGGCTTTAGCAGTCATA